TTTGGCAAAGGAAGCCATCTAACTAACACTGCTCAAAAATATTATATGTGCCTGAAAGTGATGCAAGGACCCCGCTCTTTAGCTTTATTATAGCGAGAAATATGCAATCGTATTGTGCGAAGCCTATCAGCTGTTTTCGGATTCATGAGTCTAAGAACTTGGAACAGCTCCGAAGACCAGAATAGGCATGTATCTCGTACACCGCTCTCTTATTCTCATGCAGTGGAGCTATAGGGGCGCTTACTGCGGAAAATAGGCAACATAAAGCACAATCGCCCGATTCCGTGGAACTATACGACTCCGAAACTACTGGATATATGGAACTGGAAGAGTGAGTAGGATAGTGGCGTTGGTTTTCTAAGTAAGGTTGATCGAATAAACGTTTCAAGTCGAGCTGGCTACAAGCTTGACATAGGGATTTGTTACTCTGGGATATTTTTGGAGGTGTCATTCGTCGACGCCAGGCTCGTCTTCTACATGCATCGTTCTGTAAGGCAGAAGTAACCGGCGGCGTTGCTTGGAAGCGTCCAATGTACGAATGACAGTACATTTTTAAAAATTTTCTTGCATCCACGTACTGGCTATTGTCTTCTTGACGTATTGATTAAAATGCCTTTGTTAGATTGGGTTGGTAAGCTTGATGGCTGTGTTATGATCGAAGGGGATGTGGTAGTTAAAACATTTGTACGGTGGAGCCAAGAAAGGTAGCTAGCTGAGAAAAACGACTTGAAAGGGCTTTTAAGGGCCGGGCCCTAGTCGAAACCTTATATAGTTGTTGCCTGTAGGCTCTTCGTAATAGGTAGTGCTGCAGCAGTGCTGGCCTTGTGTCGTGGTCCCTGGTATTTGCCAACGTGTCCGCCTTCACATCTCGCTAGAAACTCACCGGATCAGCCACAACTTCATTTCCATTCCATTATCATAATACAAGGACCATGATCATTCATCATTATAAGTCATATACTAGCACCAGCAAATGCAATCAGTTATCTTCCCGCTACCATCATTTGTCAATCGTGACTTTGACAGTCCCAAAGCGCTCCAGCCTTGTCTTCAAAGACCCTTCTTCCCCCTCCAAAGCCCACCCAACCACTTCCTCCAGCACCTCGGCCGAATCCTTCTCGATCGGCACCCAGTGTCCAGCCTCATTTAGCACGACTACCTGACTTCCCTTTGTCAGGTAATCCGAAATGTCCTCCAAGGTAAGCTTCGACTCGAACGCCGGGTCCTTCTTCCCATACACGACCGTCGCACGGGCCTTGAGCGAGCCAGCCGGCCCATTCTCAAAGAGTCCCGCGCCGCTGCTTGAGCGGCGGTGCGGACTGCCCCGATCGATCTCGCTAAGCCGCACGATGGTCTCGATGGACTTCTCCCACTGGCCAAGCACGAGGCCTTCGCGGTAGATGCGAATCTTCTCCAGCCAGCCGCCCGTCGGAGCACGGCGTTTGACCGAGTCAGGGTAGCCCTCCTTAGCGTCGGATGCGCCAAACTGGGCGGGTCCCGGCCCGAGGGAAGCCGTCATTGCCTCTGCGGCTTCGGTGAAGCCTAGCAGTAGTGGCTTGCCGCTGGGCTCTGTGGCTCCCGTCGCGATTCTGTGCATTAACCTCAGTAGCCACATGTTGCCCATCCGGCCGCAAAAGTTTGCGAGAGGACTAGGCAGGTTGAACGCGAAGACATAGCCGGATTTTGAAGCCTGCTTGAGGACAGGGGAGATGGTCTTGAGCGCGCTTTTAAGCAGGCGTACAGAGAAAGGGCGCTGGGTCCAGGTGTGCAACATCTTAGAGGAGGAGGCAAAGTGGGCTTTGATTGTGGCGTAGGTTTGCTGTGGCTGTAGGATAGTGTTAGCCTAGGAATAAATTATCGTAGAATCATCCCATACATAAACGGCGCAACTGATGATAAAACGGTCGGCTAGCTGAGAAGCTTCGGACGCCAGCCTGTATCCTATGATGGAACCCCAGTCGTGGCTTACAACGAAGACTTTGCCAGCCCCATCCCCTCGGCTTGTGATATATTCCTCTCTCATTCCCAGTATGAATGCTGTCATAGTCTCTAGGACAGCATTTGCGCTATAATTAGGTAACCCATCACTGCCACCATATCCAGGAAGATCTACAGCAACGAGGGCGGAGTTTTGAGAAAGTCGCGATGATGTCAGAAGACGTTGCCAGAGGATCCAGCTATCCGGGAACCCTACGACATATTAGCTAGATGTTAAGTTATTAGAGAGATCTGCCTAACCATGGATGAATATTGTGAGGTTTTTTGAGCTGTTCGTCCCAAGCTTCTCGACGTAGTGTAGCTTGCAGCCATCTTTCAAGGTGAAAAACTTGTGCTTAAGTCCTAAGGGCGACTTCGAGAGATCCCAGAACTTCTGCTGAGCTGCACGGAGTTCTCGTTAGCTTGAATTCGATAAGGCTGGGTATTCAGCTTACCGATTGCGAGTTCTTTTTTCTCCTTCTCTGTGGGTCTTTGGAATAGCGATCCATCAAGGAGAGCGAAAGTTGTGAAAAGAGTAAGAACTAGCGTGCCGTAGAGTAAGGTAAACGCTCGCCAAACGATTTTAGATATCATGGCGGCAACTTTGTGGATGGTATAATGCCTGAGGTTGAGCAAACTCTTGCGTGTGTGGATGCTTCAGGTCATGGAGGGGTCTGCCTTCGTGTCTCGTATCACTGCGTCCAGGGTAGGAAAAACTATGGTGAATGTTAGAAGGCCCAAAAGTGAGGATGGAAGATATAAGGCCGCCAGCTGCAGCTATGGGGAGACATGATAGGCAGTCACGTTCAAGAGTGGTAGCTGCAAGGTAGTTGGGGTGCGGGCACATGGACATGTCTATCTCTTCGATCATTGCTCCAAAGAGATACCGTTTCACAAATCCTCGGCATCCTGAAACAGAGCACCGTATTATAACCCGAAATACTTCCGGAGTTAGCTCCGGATAAAACTTTTGTACTTGCGAAACGCTTTATAGCTCGAGTTTTATTCGTGCGACACCATATAAAGTGATAAATATTCTACCAAAAACTTCCATCATAATTAACCTAGGCCGGATTTTTTTCGGTCCTAGTAAACGTTACCCCAGACTTGTTCGATGCCATGTGCGAAATAGAATTGAATTGACTATTTACGTAGTAAATGAACCGGCGCCTTAAAATCATAGCTTCTCTGCATCATGATTGTCATACAAAATTTATCGCAATCCCAAAAAAGTAAGGCGTGTCCTACAGCCATCATGCTTCGTGCTGAGAACATGTTCATGGGAACTCATCGGATGTGTAGACAAGTGGATTAGTTCTTCTAACCGCTGACTCTCATTGAGGGCTATTCCAGATTGGAACGTAGGCATGGCTTTATTTTTCCTTTTCCATCTTTGTAGGTCGACGTACAGAAAATCGAATGGTGCAGTCGATGAGGTCATCAGCTTTCCAGCTTCCGCGCTTCTGATTTGGCGCATGCAAAAACGACGTGCAAAGCTTGGCGCTCGATTTTCCGAAGAAAAAGAAAGTTATCAATCTGTATTTAACTACACTTTACACATGAATTTACGAGGCATCGCATAAATTTCTATACATTCCCTCCGCAAGCCTCCGTCTGAGTCTCCGTACGAGTCTTCGTACGAGTCTCCGTACGAGTCTCCGGAAGAGGCTCTGAACGAGGCTCTGTGTAGGTTTCCGCACGAGCACGTATCTATATAAATCTTTGTACGAGCCTTATGCAGAAGCTCATGTGGGGGCTTCCTACGCAAAGCCTCGTATAAAGCCCCTCGTATAGATCTATACGGAAACTTCGTATATAACGCTTCGTGTGGACGCTTCCGACGCGGACTTTCATACTAAGAGAAATTCTATAAAAGTATAAAAATATAAATATAATGCAAGGCTAAAAACGCGTAAAACTACCAAAATTTATCTATTAAATCTAAATTTACAGTGGTCTTCTTAGTAATTTAGATACTAAGCTTTGCGCATCATTTCATATATGCTGAATGTTATGGTCTACTTAAGGAGCTGAATGTACACTTGCGTAAGCGAAGCAAAAGAAAATATACTTATTGAATTATATTGAAGCATGTGAAAGTGTATTCAGGGATTAGACTATTATTGAAGACAACCAACTCAGAAGCTTTAAAATATGCCACCAACCTTGCACCCTCTACGAACCATACTCGACCAAGATAAGCGAAAGATTTCTATCTCACGCAATTACGCCCCTGCAGGAATCTAAGAACGCTCAGGATTCACATGGTTGCGCTTGCGGCCTAGGCATGAAGGGAACAAAGCCATATATAAATTGCTTTAATCGATATGCATCGAAACAGATATTGTGACCACGCCATGCCCTCACGGCGAAACTAGGAACACACCTAAAATTATAACCGGGTCGTCGGAAGAACGTTTAGAGAGCCTTTAGGTTTTCTTACACTTAGTGCAGACTACCAGTCTTACTTATATATGCCTAACATATGATTACGTGTCAGCCGTTGACGCCGCTTTCCTGGTAGGTAGGCTGGCTCTAGGGGAGTGAGGTGGTCGGTCGCTGGTCCTCGCTTTGGCGGAGCGTGCGGGGAGCAGCTGTTTGAGGCCTCGGTTGGCACCACACACCATCCCTGAGCTAAGAGCCATAAGTTGCTATCGTTTTACGCAAAATGGGGGTAAAATAGGGTTACCGGGTTATTAATATTTCTAGAGATTGTTGGTCGCTCCTCGCAAGATAGTTGACTTGTATTCCCGAGGTTTCGACTGTCGCTATACCCAGCGTTTTGACATTAGAGTTGCGGTATTTGTGTGCACGAGCTGACTGGATAGGCCTTTCAAAAATACCAAAGGGGTCGAGGGTACCTAGATGATGTCGAGTATAAAAATTATATATTTGAATCCGTCTTGTTCACCTCATTTAGGAACAAAAACGTAAAGATGACGTGGATGGGTGCAGACAGTAGTAAAAAGCTAAAAATTAGACGCGCATCGGCAGATAGGAAGGCAAAAAAAATAATCGTATCATGACCACGCCAGGGGTCGAACTGTTAGGAATGTTAGACCTTAATTCGTGTGCTATGTGTGTGATAATTTACTAACCCTGGAATCTCTTGATTCGTAGTCAAGCGCCTTGCCATTGGGCCACGTGGCCTGCATGATCGATCGTAGCAATCATTTGCTGATTGATGGAGAGACGGGGAAATTTTTTCATCTATAATCCCTATGTTTACCTGAGTTCGCTTCTGGAACTTCAAGTTAATCTGATAGTAGTATGTAGCGTATGAGAAGAACTTGACTATGATGTAGAATATTTTGGTATGTTCTGTGTGCGCTTAATAAGTGCGTGGTTTGGTATAGTCTAAGGGGCAAGGGGCAAGGGGCGGATTGGGCCGCTCACGCATCACGTGGTTAGCGTGCAGTAGGCTTACCGTGCAGAAATACGTTCTCACATTTTGTGTATTTCTGCTGAAAAAAGTGCGACTCTGCAGATGCATTTACCATGTTATGATGCAATGACTGAGGCTAAGCCGGTAATAAGCGAAGAGTAGAATCGGTCCCTAGGTTACCGGACACCCTTTGTGACCAGAAAATCGCAGGTACCTCGCCTTTGCAGCCGGTTTGATGTAGCGCACATGCCTATATTTGTATGCATTTATATAATTCTTATACATTAGGTACCCATAAACTTCCTACATCCCTTAAACCTGAAAACTACGACCACGCTGTCACTTCGCTGCTCGGTAAGGAGCCTCTTTTTCAGCATAAATCAACCATGGAATCTACAGCTCCACGCTTGAGCTCTAATCACCCTAAAAGTTGGGTAACAGGTTTAGAAATAGGCGAGAGAGCTGACTTCCGTATTTAATAGTCGCTCTTCGTATTATTACGGGCGCAAATTACGAATTCGTCCAAAATAAGCCTGCCTATCAGTGCCTTAGGCTTTAAAGCTATACCGCTTACGATTAGCGTATACGCTTTGCCGTTCTAATATAAGTTCCATATCGTAATTTATTGAGCAAAGCTGGGCGGGCCAGTCCGCTGCCAGAAGAAGTTAGATCATATCTTCCAGCCATTCCACGACCCAGTGGCTTTCAGCTCTGTGTGACTAGTCGGCTGACCTTCCTCTCCCGGCCGACGTTGACGTTCCACCCTTCGCAGGTTTATCAAACGAGCAACTAGTGCCGACGAACCCTTAAATATGCTTTTACAGCTGCTTAAATGGACGCCTGAATTCATACGATTTTTCACACAGGATGACTGCGATGTATAACTTGCAAAATGCATTGATTGAAGCTCACGGCTAACGATAAGTCAACAGCCCACGACCGCCGACACAACACCCAGCTTCCTCGGCCTTCTCAGCGAATCCCACAAGATCCAACCCGAGCGAATGAAAAGCAAATCGATCCTCTATGATTATGTGGCGACTTCATATCATCCGCGCTACTGGAGCTCTCGTTGGCTCTGAGGCGTCGCTCATCCGTGCCACTTGAGTCCTCTTTGACTTTGACGGACTTGCCTCGAGCTCGGGATTTTTACGCTTTCGAGCAAGTTTTCCTTTTCCGGTAACTTCCTCTGCCTCCGGCAAAATACTTTCGGCCTTTCGATCACGTTCGGCTTTCCGCCTTGCTTTAGCTGCATCCTTCGCAGCACGCTGCGCTCGTGCCTCCTCGAGATCCTCGTAGCTCATGACCTTCGCCGTTCCCAGAACCAGTCTTTTAGTGTTTCGGCGAATTTTAGCTTCGTTGTTGATCTTCTTCATGAAAAGAATTTGGTCTCGCTGCAGAGCACGTTCAGTAAAGCTAGTTTAGGTAGCATTAGCAAACTTCTCTATGTGCCTTTAGAGGCGCTGTTTGCTCATCTTATCTTCCGCACAGCATCTTGTTTGATCAAGGTATGCAACAATGTAAGAGCTTCCGGAGTCACTAGCGTATAGAGTACCTCGCCTTGCGGACAGATATCAATTTCGCAAGTCTTGAGAACTGGAATGGTTGGCTTGACATTGGTCGGTTCGGAAACTGGTTTTGGTATCTCTTTAAGTACTTTGTCAGGATTGAAGGGATCCAAACCGCCTGCTCTCCATCCAGCGAGGATATTTCTCTCGGTAAGAGCTCTATCCCTTACAGGGCTGTAGAGATAGGTGGAATGCTGCTTGCCGATTATACCCACACCTTCTCGCTCTAGTCGATTGACTTGGTCATGATAGGCCGATTTCAGCGGAGAAAATACTGCAATATTACACGGTTGAAGCTTGTGGGATGTATAAGAGGGAAGACGATATAGAATAATATTGTTTTCGAAATAAAACTCCAACATTTTAAGAAATTTGTGCGATAAATGGCCGCCATAGATTTAAACCCGCGGCTTCTGGTTAGCTCGTGCTTTAGTTTGAGGATTGAATACGCGCTTAATCCACTCCAAGTCAAGCATAGAGTCGGTATATCCAGATTCAGAATACGTATAGTGCCACCAAGAAGTTGGAAACATCGTTCAGTTAGCTTAATGAGTTAATGCCGGCCAAATGATTATTGGATTTAGATACCTACTATCGCCACTTATATATTTAACGGCGGTTATAGCGGTGCGCTCTATATGCGCGCCTTTATGGCCTTGTAGATTGTTCTTGCTGACAAGGACCTTTACACTTCCTGGCATGCTGAGCATGACGCTAGTTTTGTCCATGTTATAAATATTTTCAGATACAACATCTGGCGCTTTAAGGACCTTACTAATCACCTCGAACTAATATACGACCTTGTCAGATGTTATAACGATCCCAGTCCAACGCCCTCATGCGTCTTACTAAAAGTTCCGGACGACGTTTCTCGAAAGCCCGAGCCCAGTTCTTACCTAGAGGCTTGGGTGGTTTATCCGTGGATCGTTGGTGGGCAACACTGAAGGCTAACGAAGGTATATACTTTATTTGTATCCGTTGTCTAAATTTGGCCATTTGCAGAACGAAATTAACGACGGCTTTCTCCTCACATGGGGTGAGATACTGCTGGCTTTGGGCTTTCTGTTCTTTCGAACGTACACCATGTGCACGATCATGGAGGGTAGAGAGAGGGACATTGTGATATTCTGCTCGGGCACGCCATGTGTTACGTACGCCGTGTGGAGTGCCTTCTATCAGCGCTCGACTGGCTTTGTCCATGATAGCTTACTGTGGTGGTAGGGATTGGGAAGGAGGGGGAAGGGAACGAGTGGAGAGAGCGAAGCGAGCGCGAAGAGCCTAGCGCAGTCCGACGGGGCATGCGCTTGACCCTGAAGAAAGGCCCATTTTTGGACCCCATCTATTTTTAGCTGCTTGCAATTTCGAATCCTCGATGTCTCGCTGGGCGGCAATAGAGACGAAAACTCTTGCAGGTTGGATGAATCGAACACCCACGACGAACCTCCAGATATTTCTTCAGCCTGAAGGTCGGTCCAGGGCACATGCATGGTGTCGCAGCGTTAGGGCAGCCCTGTGGCTAGGGACGAGCGAATCATACTCTTAGAATCCGTGGAATCCCTCGTGCACGTTGAGTCTCCACTGCGGGAGAAATATGACATCACCCCTTGACCATTCGAGTAAAAGCTGATCTAACGTGGTCATTGAAGCTGTTCTTGGTGTTTCTTCGAGGTGTGGTAATTTTACTGTAACTTTATCTCCATGCAGGTGGAAAAGTCCAAGCAGACCTGAGCACAAAACTGGTGTGACGAAAAGGGCCCGGCTGCAAGGCATATTTATCACGTGAATCAATATTTCAGGCATCTTACTTCGCGAAGCTCGCGCACGGTCCACCTCGGTTTGTTGTACAACAAAGCTTTCGGCTGCTTATCTTAGTAAGCGACTTAGACGGTAAGGGTAAACTGAAGGCGCACTCACTAATACTAAAGTA